CCGCTAATGGATCTCCCTGCCTGACCGATCTCGTCATCCTATACTTGGCAGATAAGTGCCCATTAACCTGTACTTGCCCTTGTGCGTCATTATAAAGAACTTCGATCCATTTTATGAAATTTGGACCCACTCCCATCTTTTCCATGCATTGTTGCAGAAATGTCCAGCTGACCTGATCGTATGCTTTCTCAAAGTCAAAAAATAATATGGCCGCATTAATCCTTTTATCTCGAATGTAGCGAACTGATTCTGTTAGTGTCATTACATTATCCAGGATAAACCTACCCGGTATGAATCCCGTCTGATCTAAATGGAAACTACCTGCTGTGATTGTTGTTAATCGATTCGCCAACACTTTGGCCACTATCTTATGGGTTAAGGTTAGCAATGTTATTGGTCTATAGTTCCGAATATCTGCTGGATTACCTTTCTTGTAAATTAAAGTAACAATCCCCATTGTCGGATCCTGGCCCAAGCCCTCCGCCTGCCACGCCTGTTCCAGAAATGCAAGATATTCATCCCCCAGGATTGGCCAGAATTCTATCCAAAACTCCCTAGTCAGACCGTCCTTTCTGGGGGTTTTATTAGGGGCCATGGATTTTAATGCTTCCAAAAGTTCCTCTTTTGTTATTGGAGCGTCCAGTTTAGCCGCATGATACTTTGAGATTGTGGGCTGCATATAATTTAGAAATTTAGAACGTGCTTCTTGCACTCGATGTTGCGGATGATCCTGCTCCCTTATTGAATACAGATTACTGTAAAACTGTAGTGCCACTTGTAACATCTCATCCCTATCTGTAGTGAGGCCGTTCTGTCCTTGAAGCTGATTAATGATGTTATTTCTCCCCCTGGATATTATTTTCCGAAAGAAGAATTTAGTCATTCTTTCTCCTTCCTCCCATTCTCTAATCCTGGCTCTCATTTGTAGACCCCTAGATCTCCAACGTTGCCATTCCGCCAATTCCTCTCTTGCTGCGTCCAACATCCTTTCATATAATTCTTGCCCTGGAGAGTTGATTATGTTCCACTCTCCTACTCTCATCGCCTGCTGCAATTCCCGTTCCCTTTCCTTTCTTCTAGCCGCCAATCGTCTAGCCACTGCCGACGATGCTCTAGAGAGTGCGAGGAGTAATTGTGGGAATGTATCTGTATTTGGATCAYGTGTCTGGCACACGTGGAGCWCTGCCTSCCTCATTTCTACCGTACRCAGGAGMGAATTATTTAGCTTATAGAACCCCTTACCTCTCTTAACTTGCTTGTCTGTAACTAAGTGCAGAAAAATAGGCTTATGATCCAAAGCTGCTTCGTACGGCARATCCCCTATGCCTACCGAATGTATCATACCAACTATGCTTGTAGAAGCCAAAAAGTAATCTATTCTTGATGCTGATAGATGTTGACTGCGGTTCCTCTTTAGATATGTAAACTGTCTTTCATCAGGGAAGTACAATCTGTATGGATCAACCAAATCCTTGCATGTCATCATACTATGAATTGGTAGAGCTTCCTCCGCTAATCCCTCTTCCCATTGCCTCCCTCCTGCTGCTAACCTATCTATTCTAGGTTCTAGTGTTGCATTCCAATCACCTGCTATCACCATATGTCTATCCTCCTCTAATATATCTTGCAACTGCCCTACAAAACCCATCCTCTGGTGGGATCCAATCGGGCAGTAGACAACCAGCAACATGAATGGCTCATCATGAAACTCAAAATTAACCTTCACCCATCTACCTTCAATTTCGTCGACAGTAATGTTATTAAGAACTATCTTATCTGCTACTTTCGATCTGCTATTTTGAATTATAACCACCCCCGCCGAATGAGGAGTGTTTGTTGTCGCCCACCAAGCCCCTTTAACTCTTTGGAGCTTCTGCAATATTCTATTCTTTGTTTGCTGATGCTCAGTCGTCCCAGTGAGATGCGTCTCCAAAAGACATACAAAGTCCGGTGGCGAGGTATCATACCAAGTCGTGTAGTTAATTATATTCTGCCACTTATGTTGATTATCTATTACCCCTGCCAAACCATTAACATTCCATGATATAATTTTAATTTCCGGAGGGATTTGACTTTGCTCCCTTCTTACTCTCTTAGAGTGYCTGTCTTCCCCCCTCTCTTCCATATCTTATCCGTTTCCACTATCCGTGTTCTACTTCAGTTCTTCCCTAAACTATATATTCAAGAACCCCCCAACTCTATGTCTATCACAGTGGACTTTGGACTGATCCTTTTCTCCAAGAACTCCGGCAACCATCCAAAGGCATCCACCTTGACTGCCACTGCCGCACTACAGGCTACCCATTCTGCTGCTATTTCCCCCCCCCAATAACCCATAGGGGATTGTTTCAAACACCTGCCAAGGCATCCAGATTAAGCCCTCCCTCAATTCCGTCTTTTCCCCCATATGCATAAGAATTGGCCTGAAGTCTACCGTCCCTTCTTCTCCCCCCGCCTCTCCAACTTCCATCGCCTCATCCCCCTTTTCTCCTAATACATATTCTTTCCCCAATTATGTTCTGCAGCCCTTTGCCTGTACAGCTATTGCTGCGTGCCGTGATGAGCTGAAGTGAGCGATGAATTGCCACTTCCCAATCTGTATGTTTCTTATTCCAGTGACAGGGTTATATAACCCTTTTTCCCATTCCATTCTTTGCCTCCAATCTTGTTGCTGCTTCAATCTCTTTCAACTTGTCCTGAGCGATGTCCTTGAGATTAATCATTTCCTCTCCCAGCTTCATATTTTCGTCCTTCATCGTGTTTATCTGGGCTTCCAATATTGCAGCCTGAGTCTGAAGTTCTTGCTTCTCCTGCTCATCCCCCTCTTCTTGTCCCKTGTCCTCCATTTCTTCTTCCCGGTCTTGTGCTGCTGTCCCATTCTCCGCCTTACTTTGYYGATCCTCTTCCTTCTGTAGTTTACGCTTCCTGCTGACTCCCTTCTCACTCTTGCCCCGGTATGTCTTTGGCCATTGGAAAATCCTCTCGTAGTCTTCATGATGAATCTGGACGTCATTCTTGAYTGTGCGTGCCTTCTTYRCATATTGAGCAGCATAGAATTCATTTAACTCTCCCTCTCTTTTCAACAGCTCAAACCGATTTTCGGAGGTAATGTCCTCCTCCACCTGAGTTGCCTGCCTCAAATTCCTCAAGTGYTTGTGATGCGCAAGCCTGATTTCACACTCTATAGTCCTTCCCCATTCCAATTGTTCCACCACTCTGATCCATTGTTCAAGCGTCATATTTTCCTCCTGCATTGTGTCATCCTCCTCCTCGTCCTCCTCCTCCGACGACGACGACGATACTCCTTTGTCTGAGTCTTGTGTAAAATCCTTCTGATCCTCCTCTGCTTGCTGTATTTCCTCCTCCATCATATTTTCCACATTTTGCATGGCCTTTCTTTTCACAGCCCTGTTCTTTCCYTGAGCTTCATCTATGGATTCCCCCTCCTGCCTGCTRGTCCCTKTGTCCCCCTCTTGTCTGCTAGTCCCTGGCTCTGTGATTTGTTGACCCTCTTGTGTGCTGGTCCCTGGCTCTRTGCCTTGTTGATTCCCTTCCCTTTCCCCTTCGGTTCCTACCTGTCCCTGCGTTATCTCCTTTTCCGATTCCGCTGTCCAGCTCCCCCCTGCCTTGCTCCCTTCTGCATTATCCATGCTGTTGTCCGTCTGTTGCCTTTTTGTTCTCTGGGACTGGCCTTCTTGTTCTTCCGTTTTCCCCCTCTCACTCTCACCTTCGGAATCCTTTCTCTTCAATGAGTGACTCGGTTCCTTGATGTTTTCCCCACATTCCATACTCTCCCCCTGCTCCTCCTGTTCGTCAGATCCAACGCTGCTCCCTTGTCCCCCCTGTTGCTCTTTTTGCTGCTTCCTAGCCTCCAAATTTTCCAAAAATGCAAGTTCTGCATTTTTCCCAATCTCGTGGAGGCTCTGCATGAGCTTCATCCTTTGCTGATCATCCCCTACCATCRTGTCGTCAATCATTGGTCTGGTGAGAAAACCAATTTCCTTATCCTCCATCCTCCTAGCTCCTGTYTGTCTCCACCTGCTGTCGTATGGAGGATATATATCCGGTTTGACCGCTGGTTCCCTGTTCAGCACCCACACCCATCTTGGTGATTCCAAATTATCATAAAAAATYCACCCTCTGTATTGTGGTGCATTTATATACCAGACCCCCGGTTTGGTCTCACATTCCTGCAGCATTGATTGCTTCAGTGGAGTCTGTTTAGTGGTCGTTCCTCCCTGTGGGCAAAAGTTCCCCAGATGCCCTCTTCCTCTACACTTGAAACAAAAAGGATTCGTTTTAGTTGATATGAAAATATTAATCCTTTGACCGCTTTTCCTGAAGATCCATTGATCTGGAAACTTCGGCGGCGCCCCTGATTTCACCTCCAAACATGCCACTCGTGAATCGTGATTAGGAGCAAGAAAATYTGGATTAGCAGGTAGCCATTCAATGATGGGATTATTGGGGAATTCCTCCTCCAACCTCCTCTGCACAAAACTGTGCATCCCTTCCGACAGATTGTCAAATTGAACCCAAAAATGATTCCTCATCATCGACTGTCTGTGTCTCGATGTTTCCGCCTGCTGAGGCCGAGGTGGCTTCCATGGTTGGATGGTCACCACCGCTCCCTTGCATTTTAGCGACCCAATAGATAACAGGTGTTGTGCGTACGTCGGGTCCACACAGACTATCATGACCGAGAACCTACCCCTTTTGTGATAAGAAACCTCTGGCTCCCCCCCCGGTAGACTTTCCATCGCCCTGAGTCTGTCCATCACCCACCTTCTTTTCTCATTAAGAGAGAGCTCCCTACTTCGTCCCGAAAAATTAAATAGCACCGCATGTCTCTCATACAATTCATTCAACGTTTGGATATCTTCTTCTGGATATTCCCAAACCTCCACCTCCTCTTCTTTTCCCCCTTCGCCCTTGATCACCTCTTTGGTTACCTTGATATTTGCCATAATTTTAGTCTTTTCCATCAAGAAATCCATTGCTTTCTGCTCCAATGTGCTCTGCTTGGGCCCCCCCGTGTTTGCGTTTGTCCCTGTTTCGGAAGTCGACTGTGATGATTGTAATGATTGTCCTCCTTTAGAAATCCCCCGCGTTCGTTGGAAGTCCAATTTCTCCTTTTCAGTCATTGGCCCGAAAGACGATGTACCACCTTTCACCCCTGCCTAAGTTAGCCTACTTGAAGTACTCTTAGACTTGGAAGACTTCTCGGTTTTTAGTACCTGTCTTGTAATTACTGAAGGCTTATCAATTTGGGCGGATTCTAGCTTTTCCTCTCAGCTGTATGGCTGTCGGATCTGTGTGTATTACTGGTAGAGCTAGTTCAGCCTTCATCTTACCTTTCTATGCACTGTAGTGCTCTTTAGCCTTAGACCGTGTTTTAGGCTTCTTTTTTTTTTTTTTTTTTTTTTTTTTT